GCTGCCACATTCAAGTATGAGTCAAGTTTGCTCTTGGAGAACTTCTCAACAGAGCCTTCCCATGGCATTGTTAGGTCTACGATATACACCATTTCATAACACAAAGTCATTGCTGTAGACTGGAAATTAAAACCAGTTTACCCACAAAAGAGCGTCCAACTTTGACATCTGGAAATTAATTATTTCAGTATGTTTGGCTGAAGAGTGTGTAGACAGCCTCTGGCTTACATGAAATATGGGAATGATACAGAAAGCCTGCAGCCAAATCAGCCTGAGACAGAAATAACCCAATTCAAATTGGATCATCAGACAAGCAATAGAATGTTTTCTATTTTTTTTTTTTGGGGGGGGGGGGGGGGGGGGGGGGGGCGGGGGGGGGGGGGGGGTTTACCAACGCCACGGTCATGAACCCTTCAGCTGTTTACGGCAGGTCATTGTGCCATAAAGACCACAGTTGTGTATGTACCAATTTACTAATGTACTAATTTAGCTCATTCACAGCAAATGTGTGCATATGTGAGTGCTATGAATTCTGATCAATCATAATTATCATGTAGCAGCACAGCAAAGAAGGACTCATCCAGGCTGGAGAAACTGATCAGGAAGGCTGGCTCTGTGGTCGGCATGAAGCTGGACACTCTGGTGACAGTGGCAGAGAAAAGGACACTAAAAAAACTGCTGGACATTATGAACAATGCTGGGCATCCTCTGCACACGGCCATTAACAACCAGAAGAGTCTGTTCAGTGACAGGTTGCTTCTCCCCAAGACAAGAACTAACAGACTTAAAAACTCCTTTGTCCCACACGCCATCAGACTGTTTAACTCCTCTCTGGAGGGGAGAGGGAGGGGAAACAGGAGGACAAAGGAGGGGGGAACAACTAAGCTGTAGTGCCTCTTCACCTCACTGTGCAATACCTTTTGTGCAATACTTTTATTCCTATTTATTCTATTTATCCCCTTTGTATATTTTATTTTATTTATATATGTCTCTGTGTGTGTATCTATCTATCTATCTTAATAAATAACTGTTTTCAACCTACAATATAGGTCACAAAGACCATTTGTTAACTAATTATTTTTCCACAACGTCTACGCACTATAGAAGTAGAAGCAGCAGCGAGCGAGAGTCTACCAGTCTTTGTCTACCAGAGAACATAGAACTGTGCTCTACCAACCTAGAAAAATGATAAAAATAAATGTTGCTATTTTCTACATGTTTCAACATTTTAACCTTATTATTTTATATTGAAGCTCAAGCCACCAAGGGTGAACTTGGTTTTTAAAACAGGACTATAAGACCAAACACAGTGAAATTCTAATTTCTAAACTTCTTAAGGACAAAACTACTGTAATGAAAAACTGAATACATACATAGCCACGCCAAGAACTGGGACAGCGCTTTAGCTGAAAATAAGTCAACAAGAAAGTGAAAGGAGGGGGGGGGGGGGGACAATCACACTGGCAGAAACCCAAATTTGGCCTTTTTATTACAACAACAAAAAAAAAAACTGTTTCAGGTACAGGTGGTGCACATTTTTAATGTTTCTGTTTGTTGACGTGGTATCACTTAGTTTGGGGTCAAGTCAGAGTTGAAATCAGTAAATATAAGTCTCAAGGAAAAACCGATTACAAGTTAGAGAATGAAAGAGTAGGTGGACAACACATGAACCTTGAATAAATTTGATTTAAAAAAGTAAATGGTGTTGTATTTTATCACTATAAAGCAATCGCTTATGATTAATGAAACACCTTGGCTGTCAATGTCATGATATACATGTTAGTAATTTTCACTAACCATATAGTAACATACATTAGCAATAAACAGGTAAATCCTTAAACATTGAGACATTTGTTTATCGTTACTTAATGCTAATTAATTTATAAATTACCTGATATTAAATAATGTTAGCTGAAGTGCCTTTATTGTGGACTGAGATGCACCATCGGGGGAATTTGAAAAATAAAATATGTCATATTTTACAATAAGTAAACTAAGCTGTGCTTTCAGCAACAAAGGTAAAAAAAAAAAAAATAGCAAAACAAAAGCCTCCTACATACCTTCTGTCACCAAATGGAGACATGAATAATAAAAGAGAAGATGGGGGACGTGCCATTATGTAAGCACTGAACGTAAGACGAAAGACAGGAAGACATCCTTGGCTTGCTAACAGTAGGCTGGAGAGCTGTCTGCACTTAGAGTACTGGCATCAGGAAGGAATAATAATCACCAGTCACAAAAAGAAAGAAAATTCTTGTTTCTGAAGCCGTTTCTGTAACTGCACAAACAAGAACACTTTGCTCCAAAGTGAGTATTTGTCTAACAAATGACAGAAAATAACAATGCAAAGTTTTGCCTCAGGGGAATACTTTGATTTTTTTTTTTCCCCTAAGAGACACTTGTTGAACTGCCAAATAAAATAGAGTTCTACCTTGCTCTAACTTTCCCTAAAATAAAACCAAACTAATTTCTAAACAGAGTTTGGAAATTAGTGAGGTCCAGAATTTTAAACTAGACGTCTGAAGTTTCCAAAGTTGCAATAAAATCAAAGGCAGAAATTTGTAATCAACTCCATCTTGTAAAGTTTTCTTGTTTTGCACAAGCAGCTGTGTATATAGAAATATAGGAAATGAGTGTTATGTGTATAGAATAAGTCATGCCTCATTCCTCACAGCATTGTATTAGGGCAAGTGAGGCAAGTAGGGCTTGTCAAGTCAAATCTGAAAATCGATCTCAATTAAAATGATGTCTATTCTGGCCTGTTGGCCTCCCTCCTACTGCCACCTCAAAGTTGCAGTTGGCCATTTTCTCTGGAAGCAGGATTAACTCTGCTCTACTTCCATTAGACTGAAATCCATGCGTCCAGTGTTTTGAGGGTATCCAGGACCTCCCCACAGATGGCTCCACCGGATACAGCTCTGCTCGGGGCCTCCCCACACTGAACTGGCACCTGTCCAGGTTCTTGCAAAATCTGTGCCCCAGTTGGTGGATCCTGAGTCCCCTGTGTGAGCCACCTCAGCCTGTGAGACCTGAGCTGGACGATCAGACGCAACTGACCCATGGCTGAGGGTCTTGCGCAGCCCCAGCTAGGACTGAGTGCCACAGTGTATACTGTTACCAGTTTAATATATTTCTTGTTCACAAGGACATCCCCTATAGAGTCTCATGCCACATCTCAGAAAAACTAAGACAGGGTGGCACACTGGTTGTATCTGTCCCATGAACGAAAAAAAGTCACAGTTACTTATTTTTTTTATTCAATATTCCTAATAAACTGAGCTTTTCTACCCAAACTACTTCTTCGGGTCAATTAAACTGCAATTTCTATTGTTTCCCTAGATTTTCTGAGTTAGAATAAAACAGAATAGAACAGAACAGAACAGAATTATTATCCCACGGATGAGAAATTTTGGTGTTACAGAGCTCTTACAGCAAGGGAAAATAAAATGTAAAAGGAAGACACAAGGTGGTCCTATAATCCCTATGTGGTCTGCTGGCTGTTGCAAAAGTACAACCTAGAGTACTTATCCCCAGGTTCTGGACCCAGGATTTTGAGTTACTGTGAGGATTTGGTATTCATGTATTATTTATCAGTTTATTATCAGTTTATTATTAGTTTATTATTGTTTTCTGAATACTCTGGATGTTTGAATATTGTTGGGTTGTGTTTGAGAATAATTATATTTCATTTCTTTATTATTCACATTTCTTGTGAATCTCAGTTGTGGTGATATAGTCTTTAGTTTATCTTCCTGTCCCTTTAGTCTATTGCTGCTTATTATTTTATCACTTCTAGGGACAGTTCAATTATGTGATAGCTTGTATTTTGGTTCCCATCTTGTTGTTTATCTGTACTAGTAGTAATAGTTACATCTTCCCTGTACTTCCATTTGCGCCTTAGTGCTTAACCCTCCGTCTTGTTTGTGTTAGCCTGGACAAACCAACCTTTCAATTGAAATGTGACCCAGAGTAGATGAAAATTCACCTAAAAACCTAACCACCTATTCATTTAATTTGTTGTACGGAATTCACCAAGTTACTTTCCCGGTGAGACTGAGGATTTAGAAACTCCAAAAACGATTAGGCGCCACGAAAGAGTCACAGGGCTCAGCCATGCTAAGAAACCATCTCATCAGAAAGCAGCGGTGAAGCTGAACTATACCATCCCCGGGGAGAGGTTGTATATCAGAGAAATGTTAAGAGACAGCAGCGAGGACTTCATATTGAGTGAGTCATGTGTCATTGTAGGTGATTGATTTTCTGCCCTGTAGCTACAGGAGAGTTGGCGCTGCCCTAGTGTTGGTGTGTTTGAGTCAATGTGTGTGTGAGGCTGATGGGTAGCCTTGACTGCTGATAAGACAGTCGATGGGAGCCTGCAATGACTCTGTCCACACAGCGCACTTTGGTCTCTTTCCCAAAGGTATGAGTAACAGTTTTTATCTTTTGTTTATTTGTTTGTGTAGACATAAACTATCCTAACACAAAGATAACATACAGCAGAGTACAGACATTCAAAAATGCCACAAGTTTATGTTTTTCTGGCATGGCTCTACACTCCACTTTGATTATGAACAAATAATATTATACCTGACCTTTGTAACTTATTTCTCCCAATATCAGTAACAATTTTAAACCACTGAGACTTGTACAAGAATCCAATCCAAAAACTCGCAAAAATTAAAGTAATCAAATAAAAAGTACTAGAATTTCTCAGTTTAATAAAAGCAAGAAAAGAAAAATAATGACCCATTTTGAGTAAATATTCCACTAAATAAATAGGAATTACAGACAGTAAGGAATTGTTCAGGCTACGTGTAAAAAAAACAAAACAAAAAACAACAGTGTAACGCACCAAGCACACTAAATGAGTGTGATATTTTGTTCTTGCACGTAATTACCTATGGTTATACTTATAAGTCTACCTGTCAGATGAATAAAAGCAAAAAACAATATAATATTTTCCTCTACAATGATTGTTTCAGCATAGTAAAAAGTCTCACCAGTACAATCCTGGGTCTGCCACTCCAGACACTGGCCGTAGGGGAAGGAAATGACATACGCAGAGGAGTCTACACAGCGCTGAGTACTTCCACACCACATGCACTCCATGGCCTGGCTGGTGCAGTTGGCACAGCTGGTGCGCAGAGCACAAGGCGTCTTACAGGGACGAGCACTCTGACTCTGGGGACTCCCTGAGCAAGGGATAGACAGCACCATGGTGTGTGAAACATTAAATGACCTGTTAGCTATATTTGTTTTGCATTCAGTGACATCCAAATAGTAAGATAGTGTAGCTGTAAAAACACAAGTTTGACTATTTTATAGATCTGGAGATAATATGGCACATTCCTGTTGGAAGCAGCCATCAGAACATAGATACACTTTGCTCATAAAGGGATTGACATGGGTCAGCAACAATACGCAGGCAGGCTGTGGTACTTAAACAATGCTCAAGTAATATTTAGGGGGCGAAAGTGTTTCAAGAAAATATCCCCCTATGACCCCATGACCCTACCACCATGAGCCTGAATGACCAGACTACTCAAATTACTCTGACCTCTGTAAACTGTAGAAATGGTTGTGCAAGGAAAAGACAGGAGTCTGAACTTCAGCGGATTGCCTGGAACGCATCTACATGTCTAAATGCATTGAGTTGCTGGCATATAATTGGCTGATTAGCATTTTGCACAATGAGCAGATGTTCCTAATGAAGTGGCTGGTGGGTGTATGGTTTCATTAGGTGCGCTAACCTTCAAATACATTTTTTTTCTTTTGTCTTTCTATTCTTTTTTTCTCACCAGCAGGTTTTTCACAGATCAGGCCATCAGTGGTGGCAGTGCAGGGGTTGGCCTTAAGACCAGCCATTTGAGCTTGTTCCAAGTAAGCACAAAAGCCTGAGTCACTGGGCTCTCCAGGTGACCATCGCAGGGTGGTGTTGGTGAAGGGGGATGCATCCTCCCAGCCCCAGTACGACACATTAATCTTCCTCAGGCCAACCCATGGAGATAACATCTGTAGAAGCAGAAAGACAGGTTTGAATTAGTCAGTGACTGACTTTATGTACAACATATACAAACTTTTTCTTGATATTCTGTTATATGGAATTAGCACTGGTCATTAACTTGGGAGAAAGCTGACAGTCCTTATGATGTTACTTGATACTGTTTCATATCACAGTAAGAGAAGATCCTTCCAATATTTTCTTCAGAAGTTAACTGAGCTTTATTCATAGTTAAATATAAACGTGTTTCTGGGGTGACAAAGATGGTAAAAGTCTCCATTCATGTTCCCTACAATATTTCATAAACTCTTACGTAGAGTTGTGTAAGTAAACGTTGCACAAATTCAGACGCTGCCCTTTAGAGAGATAGCTGTGCTTCTGTCAGATTCATCAAATGAAAGAGTATAAACACAATTAATCCTCATCCTGTTTCCTTCATAGCAGGTCACGTTATGCTTTTTATCACCTAAGCAAGAAGCACATAGTAATTTAACTAAGACAACATCTACTTTGCCAAGAAGACAGTGTCGTGTTTTCCATTAAAGTGGATCCTAAATCAAACCATCTGCAAATGACTGTAATTGCTATAAAAGCACAAACTCATTCAAGATTTCAAAAAGGGCCAGAAATTACAGCAGCTGATTGAAGTGTAGTTCAGTGAACATTTGAATTATCTGCCGACAAAACATTTGTGACGTGAAAGAATTCTTTCCCACAGCTGTGATTCATTTCATTAGATAAATTCAGGTTCCCAAGAATACTGTGACACTGCATTTATATGTCAGCAAATGCATATTTTGGCACGCCTTTCTGTATCTGCATGTCTAGTCAGCTCCTCCATTTGAAAATCCTTTGTAATCCAGATGAAAAGAAAATCGTTTTTTGAAGGCATAGTAAATGTAGGTTGTGAGATTTTGATTTCTAAATGTCAAAAAATGAAAAAAATTAACTACATTTGTACCCTCCACTGTTTCTCCGGACAGGTTGGATTCATCATGAAATGTTGTCAAGCATGTCAGATTCTCATATGGAGTCCCTAACATGAGCATTAGAAGTGAACATTTCAGTGTGACAGTCATTTATAACCATGCAGTTTGTCTTTGTGCTCCATGGTGGGCTTAGAAGGGTTTTTTGCTTTCTAAATGTCCAATTTCCATGGTAGACAAAACACATACACACCCCAATTAGAAATATCTTGAATCTATGGAAATGGAACCGCCACAACTGCTTCTGTTAATGATTAGTTGCTTGTGAGCCTTGCTTTGTGCTGGTGAGAAACACATTATTTGGCATCCAATGATAAATAATGTATGGAGGCAGGTTTGTGTACACATATATCACAGAATGGCCACAATTCACAAAGTTGCACCTGTGTCAATGGCACGAAGATGGTGGCAGTTGTAACCTTAAGTTACATTCATATACAACCTTTTAATCATATCTGGGCAAAATGCTTTTAAATTTTGCTGAATCTCAGACCAGACTCATCCAGTTTCCTGAGGATAGACACAAACAACTGAGTTGATCATTTTGTTTGGAGGATCTATTGGAAATAATTACATCTTTTCAACACTGGCCCTGAAGTGATCTAGCATACGCTTTCAAACCTTTTCTTACAGTTATAACAAGTTTCAACAAGAAGGAATGCCACCAAATTTGGCCTGGTAAAACCTCAGGTACATCAACTAAATTTTAAAAAAATTTATACACAGAAGATTCATGCATTCTTCATATGACCAAATTAATAAAGATAACTATGAACAATAATTTTTTAAGGTTGTGACTACACATCGTTTTAGTCAGGAGTGCTAAAGATGATTAAAAACCTAAATTATTGGCATTCCAATGTAACTTTTTTGTAGAATACACACAGACTTGAAGAATATAGCTTTCACCAGGAACCTCTATTCTAAAGTGATAACCTACATCTGCTTCCACGCTACTCTTTCTTATGATTATCATTCCAAACATGTCTAAAAATTGGATTTATATCTTCGCCCACCAACATATAATGGTGCATAATCAGCCACAGCTATTTTATAAGGCATACAAGTGGAAAATAATGAATACCTGTCACTGACATTGTTTGCATGCCTGTCATTTCTGAATTTACTGCATGACAACCACCCACCTTGTCTTGTAGCTGATACTTTTGTAGCTCTTCCAGAACAAAATTGACCTGTTTGTCTGTCAACAAAGAAGCAATATTTCCTCCAAGGTTTTTGCAATAATGCTGGGCATTGTCATAGCTCTCTCTGCTGGAGTTGATCCTCAGGCAGACCTCGCCAACCTGGTGCCAGCCATCCCCACACAGCTGGCCTGCATACAGAAACACAGTACTGTTTTTTTTTCCCTTCGACTTCATTTGTACAATGAACTTTCATGCAATAATCTGTACATTATAAAAAGCATAAAAATGATATTTTTAGAGACTTGTAATCCTCAAATTTTCATTCATTACACAGAAGAAAACGAACAATATGATTAATAAATAGATGTACAGATATTACACATTTGGGGTAAAAACAAAAACCTCAAAGCAATACCTTAGCGAGGCGTGATTGCAGGGCCGCTCAGGTGCGTCCGACTCCCATGCAGCAGCGCTGCAGACCACGCCCCGCCACACACATTAACCAGGTAAAATATATATTTAGGCAGAATTTTGCAAATATCTATTTTTCATTTTTTAGCAGCATAGTGCTTTTTTTCCCCCAATTATTTTTTAAAAGTCAGGTCAAGGCTCTAAAATCCCAAAGGCGATATAACAGTTTTTGTTTGCTACATGGATCATTTTAGTTCAGCTGGGTGTCTTTCCTTTTGTTATATTTCTTTAAGAGTTCAAAATGTGTTAATTACATAAATAAAATGGATTTAATAAGCAACACACCTTAGTTGTTCACACAAAGCATAAAGGTAAAAACAACAATTTATACAGTGTTATCTTCATTTTAGACATCAAAAAGTATTTGCGGCTCCCAATGTTTTCTTTTGCGTGGAAACTGGGTGTTAAAGGTTGCCGACCCCCGTGCTAGACTAACACATTTTATATTAGAGATTTATTTTTTTGCAACAATGCAACATCAAGGAGGAGGAGCAAACAAGAAGAATGGTGTAAGCAGCCTTTACTTGGATGTAACTGCAGGTTTCATTAGTCAAGCAGGCATCTAATTGATATCCTTCATGCTGCCAGTTGAGGGTTGGTATTTAGACCAAGTCTAATGAGGAGCAGGTGTGCAAGTGAGCTGAGAGTCAGCTGAGACCAAAGTGGGATCCTCAGTGAAGGTAAGTGATGGACAAAGAAGTCACTGATACTGGAACAGATGTGATGGCCTGGAGAGTAAACTTTTCTGCCAGAACAAACAGATGACTGAACCACATTAAAAGAATTTCTTCTGGCTTATGTGATTAAATATTTATGAAGTTAATATTAGAGGCTGATGTAATTGTTGATTAATGCTGTCTTGGATTAAAGCAGCAAATTCTTGCTTTGTACAGACCTGACAAATAGGATTCCCAGGAGTTAACAATATGTCGCCCGTAGGATAAAGGAACAGGACTGAGTAGAAGCGGAAGATAAATTCACCCATAAAACACATATATGCACTCATTGTTCTTATCGGGGTCACTAAAGTGTCTTGTGGGAGACTATAACAGCGCAGAGGCCGTTCAATTAGCCAGGATGAAAGGAAAGAATAGCCATTCAGTCTCCAGAGCACTGCTGTTTATTTTGGTCTCCAGGACTGATTACATTCACAGGCCTATAATGGCTTCCATCACCAACCTTTCCAAAACAGAAAAGAAAATACCTGCTCTCTTTATTTATCTTTTTTACATGCAATATAAGTACGCAATAATTGACTGAAACAGGAGGAGAAAGTAAAGTTAAGGGTTAAAAAGGGGGGAGCGTAAGAATAAACAGATTGACTGGGTTACAGTCTTTGTGTAAAAATCAGAGATAAACATGTTGGACCATTTAGAATGAGTCATAACACGATGTCTAAAGAAAAGGCCACTGCTGTCATGGTGTTAGAGACAGCTTTAAATAACCCAACTCTTCTTAGCCATCTCCACATAAAACTCCAGGAAAACAGAAGCTTTGTTTCAGCCTCAGCATGTTAATGGACTCAAACAAAAAAAGAAATATCTTATTTATTCTGTGTGGTCTGCAACGCTTCATGCCAAGTAGCATAATCTTGTCTGTGGACATATAAATACTAGTGAAGTGGCAGGATGGTGAAGCTCCAGTGGTGCAATATAAGAGGGTAGCTGCAAAATACTATCAGATGCATGGAAGATGCAAATAGTAGTACTCATTTTGATTTACAGAAAATAGAAGCACATAGTTGTCTTCTATCTCTGTCCATTTAAGCTTTAAACAAAATACAATCACAGCCTTAGTTTCCTAAACCTTGAAAATAAACATACCATTACAAAATTATACTGCCAGAACCACCAGAAAATGAACTGCCGTTGTCATCATTGGGATAATAAACCAATGTGAAGTCTCCACTCCACCAGAGAAATATCCAGCCATAGTCTGCACAGGGATATGACATTCGACTGCAAGGAAATGAGTCTACTAGTGCTAGCACTACTAATGTTAAAGCACACTTGATAAACTACGTACATTTGTGAAATATTATGCAGATGATTGTAAGGGCTAAATTTTCAATGGTAATTCAAATATATTTCATTTATTTAAAACTGTAATTAACAGTTTTAAATCGCTCTAACATTCTAGGCAACAACTGTATGGACGATCTTTAACTCAAATTGCAACCTCAGCAGCTAAAAAACAACCCACTTCCCAAACAGTTCCCACTGAGTCCGAAAAACAATAGAAAAAAAATAATTAGAAAACCATAACTTTAGAATTATTTGGGCATGTGGGTAACTACTCGACTGTACACAGTATGTTAATGCCCCCGTTATTTGGCACAAAAAGTACTAACCAGTAATTATTTTAAATCCTGATAAAAATCTGGCACTGCCATGTTAAAGGCCTAACTTTATAGCATTAAAAAACATTTTTACACCCTGGTACAAAACAACTTTGGCCTCTATGGGGTCTTCTCTCATAACAACTGTATAGTTGTCTCTTCAATCTGGATACTGGAATTAAGGGCGTGGGTGTTTAAATGACACTGAGTTATGGTCAGTTGAATTCTGCTAGACCTCACCTCTGCTAAGTGTAGTCACTGAATTAGATCCCTGGGCCATGTTTGTGTCTTTGGTGTTTTTGGTGCAATTTCAATGGCATTATCTAACATAGAATAGCTTGCTATAAGGCACAATCCACCCAGAAGATCCAGTTTGTTTATTATTGATATCATGTTAGTTTTAATTAACTCATATGTTTCAGTGCTTTGCACCAATTTACAGTTGAATGAAGTTTCCTTGTATATATTAGATGATTAGATTAACAGTACACTGTCTCATCCAAATATGGATATGATACTAAAATGAAAATGAAATGCTTAGGCTTCAAAATTCAGTCCAAAACCCAATGAGTCATACATATATACCGTCTGTGGTTTAACCTTTCTAGGGCTGTCACACTGACAGAATTTCAGTTCAATAGTGAAAAAATGTTCACAGTATTGTAACATTTATGGAATATTTATAAAAACGCTGTAATAATGCTCTGACTAAAATTGATCTATGGTTTTATTTTGTACTTGTTATTTTCAAGATCTAACTCAAATGAAACGTGCATGTTGGTAGTGAGAGTTTCTAACCATAATTGTGCAAATGAACAATTACCAAATTATCTGACATTATCCTATGTGCAATATTGACACAATAGTGAGTACACGTTTATAATGAACCCCCCCAACCTGATCCATTAGCTTGAGCATAATTTTGTTTTTCTGTTTCACAGAGCTAGTCCATTAGTGGTTCTCCTGTTTAATGGACTGCTAAATTAGTCATCGGAAACATTCCTAGTTAGTCTACATTGTACTGTCATGAAAAGTCTTGATATTTCTGCTTCGTTTTATCCAGCTTCAGACATGGGTTTGAACTGCAAATGAACAAACTACCACATTCCTGAGTAATAATCAAGTTATCAAACTCTATTATCCCAGCAAAACATAAGGGCCCGCCATCTTCGGCTTAAAGCTAGTACAAGTTCACAAGTCTTTGCCAATGAACCCAGCAGGTCCTTATAACACAATAAAACATGGAACTGCATCATTTATGGACTCAAGTAGCAGGAGTGTTTCCTGTGCCCCTATATTTGCTAGCAGTAAAAGTCAAAGTAGGAGCAGCTATGGCTTTAAGGCTGCACAGCATAACTCAAACTTGTTAGTCATCCAAGGATTCATATTCAGAACATCCAGTAAACACTTCTAATTGGCCTACTTCTCTATGCTGCTGAGTGCAGAGCACATTTCTCAAGTGTGTGCATGCTTCTATGTGTGTGTTCATACTAATCCTGTCTGAATGTATGCTTGCCTGAATATGAGGGTGTTTATTTGTGAAGACCACTAAGACTATGCCACTGGTTAGCGTGGGAACATGCAAAATGTTTTGTCTTACTTCACAGTATGTTTTATATGACACACATTCCAGTAGTTCTGAAAAAGTACTGCAGTCACTTCAGGGCGAACGCTACACTGTCGTAAATATCATCAAAAAGATTCACAGAGCATTTATAAAACAGGTTATCCATGCGTGCATTTGTAAACTCTTTATGTAAATAGAGTAGATTCTCAAGGTGTTCTCATTTTGCTGCATATGGCCTCAATCTGCATGAGGAAGCAGATTAGAAAGCAAATCACAAACATGCTGTGCAAAGACTTTGCAAAGCCGGGTGAAAAAGTTTTCAGATTCACTTGGAATAAAATGAGCTTCATGAATTTAACTTGAGGTACTTAATTTGCTTGCTACTATGTTACATGCATGAGTGTTTCTCCTCACCAGGCAACGCCTGACACTCCTGCTGCTGTGGCTCCCACTGGCAGTTGACGTTCAGCAAGCAGCTCCTGCAGCTGGCCAGCCTGAAACACTCCAGCTCTTCCCTGCGCTTACACCTGGATGAGTCTCTTACCGTCTTCAAACACACACACAAAATAACAGGAAATGATATCAGTCGGGCTAGAGTTCTTTGACAGTTTTCTCTTCAACAATAAATACAGTAAAGCTAGAGAATTCGATATAGTGTGCAACAAATGGTGAAAATGAATAAAGTATAAATGGGCGTGGTGATTTAAACAGCCAACAGAACATGCAGAGTGGAAAAGAAAATCAATATGCAGGACACATTATACTGAGATGTAGTTTTTATTCTATATGCTGCACAGTTACACTGCAGCAATTTTAGCTATAAGGTTTCAGAACAGAAAGGAAATTTGTTTTTTTATTTAAAAGTTTCAAAAAAACCCAAAAATCTAATTTGATCAGGTACCAGCAAAGTGTACTTTAGCCTAAAAAACAAAATCCCATTTTCTGCAAAAGGACGACACATCTTTATATCCATGATTGCACAGGTAAATACAATCCTGACCTTCATTTTTTTAGTCCACCACTTTCTTAGCATATTAAATAAAAAGTGATTTCTATGAAAACCTTGAAGGTTAGACAAAGGGCCAAGGAGAGGTCTTTGCTCATGTCCTGTTTTCATGACAATTTTTGCTTACGTATTTTCTTGAGGATTATTGAGTGTACATTTTGTTCTTCTGCTCCTGAAATGGCATTAAATGGATGTGTCATTTGGATTGATCCAAAAACAGACTCATGTTCAAACAAGCATGACAAGTCTTGTCTCAGAACAGAGACCATATTCTATGATTCTCTTTAATGCTTACAAATTATTTACCAAAACCTTCAAAAGCTTTTGATCAGTAACAATTTCTGCATCACTCAATGACGTGAACAGCTCCTCACACCATAGTGTTCTTTTTCTCACACCATTTTTAGTACCACTTGTTGGAGAAAGAAGAAATGCATGAAATACATGCAAATTTGTACTTATATTGCCCCCCAGTGTCCACATAACCTTAGGGGCTACTCTGACCTGTGACCTTGCAGCCCAAACCTGAAGCTTAACAGGAAGTGTCAAATGATACACACATGTCCCCTTCTCCTGGCTCCGTGTTTCCACAAGCTCAGCTGATGTTCAGACAACATGGACGGAGGGGGAGACAGAGACAGAGCGCCGCCATGCTGCTGGGCCAGCTCCAGAGTCAGCTAACACACACACACACACAAACAGTCCGATCCATTCACAGATTCAGATCAAATCCAGCCAAGCACGTAGACAGAAAGAAAGCAACAGATAGCCAAACACACAAAGAAACACACACAAAGCAGGGTTGAGATTAAAAACAGAGACTGTGAAAGGAGGAAACAAAATGAGCAAACGTAACAAAATAACACAAGAAAATATTTATAACAAGTTTAATTTCAGCCCAACAATTACTTTGCTTTTTTTTTTTTTTAAATGTTCATTTTGATGCTTCAGAGAATAAAAGAAAAAACAAAAACCTTAAATGAGCGTGTGTGTCTGTGTGATCATTTAAAAAGACCACACTGATTGGTGTTGATTGTTTTAAGACTTTATATAAGACATCGACAGCTTCTTCCTTTAACCAGTCATTTGAAAAGCCTCTGAACTTTCCTCCAGCATTTATCAGCTCACGTTTTCAGCTCACGCTCAACAAAGGATCGTTTCCAAATGGCTGCATCTCCAATTCTGAGTGCAATTTTGGTGACAGACAAGGAAAAGCCTCAGGCCTCGGGAGATTTATTTATTTTTTAAATGCATTTTCTCACTGGTCACTTGAGATTGACTGCAAAAGCAAGTCAATCCGCACAGACAGTATGATAAAATGTCAAATTTCACAGCTCTATAATAACTAAGTGGGGCATTTTAGGCATAGCCAATTTGACAGGTGTCCCAAATTAGGCAGCTGGAGGCAGGCCTTGCTTTAAATACTTTGGATCATTACACTCGACCTTTCCATTGTCTTTTGTCACGTTTTATTGAGTAATCTAAGATTATGGCTTGCTGTGAGACACAGATCATCCAAGAAGTTTCTGCTTTGGTTTTGTTGAGTGTTGTATGCCACTTAGCTAACTAGCAAATGTGTGTGTTCCCCTATACAGCTTATGGATGAAAACCATACAAGCTACAATTAGCTGATTAGCCCTTTTTATACAAATATAATTACCTCTATCCATATTTTATACTTTCTATGGTGCCAAATTGCATTGATGCTCAGCCACTGACAGAACAGTCTTTGCACTTTTTATGACTTCTAGCATTGTCAGGAACCAATATGTTAAGTATTCCATCAAAGATTTAATTCAATTATTGTACTATCAATACTATACGTTAAGGTTTACCATAGATATTTTACTGATAGTCAGTAAAGCCTCACCACAGTGCAGTTGCTTGAGGCAGATATGCACTTCCTGTCCTCACACCACTGACATCCTCTTGTGTTGGCAGTGCAGCTCGCACAGTCTGAGAAGCGGAAACACTGCTCATCTGTACTGTCTAAAAATGGAGAACACAGACAAATTAAAAAAACATAAGCACATCGGTACAAAGGCAACAAAGACACCAGGTCACAGCCTTTTTTCCCCTAATCTGTATTGTTACTGTCTAAATAAAGTGTATGGACAATAAAATGCTTTCATAATATTATGGACTGAGCACAACTCGTACAGTTTTACTTTCAGTAATCGATTTCCACTTATTGAAATCAGCCAACAAATGTTTCAAAGAGTTCATCTGTTGGTGATTTGACTTCTTGACTAGCAAAGATTTAAATGTGATTTTCATGGAAATGTCTATCAGTCAGTTAATACATATAGTGCACAGAGTCATCAGGTGAACATGTACAACTACTTAAACTATTAGGGCAGTGTAAAATAAAATGTATTACCATATTTGGATGGATTAATCAGGAAGCTACCAAGTGACAACTTCGTTCGCTGAAAAAATCCAAATAGCTTATTTTTGTACAGGTGTCAATATTTTTTTATATTTCAGCCATTTACATCCTACTCAGGCTTTAAGTTTGCATTATTAAGTGGATGCCTTCTTCTCTTGTCTACCAGTCATTTATAATAAACATATTAAGTACTTACTGCCTGTTCATACTTTTAATTATAAGCTTTTAAAATGAATTTAACATCTTATTAAAATTACACTGAATAGCTGAATGATTCATTTGCTTAATTAACACTTAAACTCCCGGAGAGCAGCCTGATAATCAGGAGCTAGCAGCTGACAAGTCATGGATGGGAATTCATGTCTTCTTACTTTTTCTATTAAAGTTTATTTCTTTATTTATATTTAATTATTTGGGAGGCTTAATTGTTTAGGTTTGTCCCACATTTTTACCTGAGTCGTCTACGTGTCTTTGCGGTCGTCCATTATTATCTTTCTCCACAACCAGACAGGTTGCTGACAACTGGACACAGTCCTTTTTTCCACTTGTCTTCAGCATTGATGAACGCACACCACAGAACATCACTTTGTTTTTGACAGTTTGATACTATAATGGACATTTCTGGCTTCAGTAATGTAGGTTTTTCATTTCCAAACCTGTCCTATGTCAATCAGCGGTACTTTTCACTAGTTCAGTTACCTGCCTCAAAACTGAGGTAAGTGTAACTTGGAACCTGCCAATTTTGTTCCGCTAACATTTTTTTTCACCAATCTACAAGTCGCTGAATTTCACAGCCATTTCATGCTCGCTCGTTACCACCTCATCGTTGGTCTCTTCCTGTGTTCTCTGAAGTTGGAAAGTGTCAACCTGTCTTGATAGCTCAGGGAAAAGCACATGAACTACTCAAGAGTGAAAGTGGTTCTAAGTTCAATTCCTCCAATAGGCAAGAGATAGTTGAACCCAGAGGTGATTAGTGGGCACCTAGTAAGTTCTTACCAAATGTCCGTATCAACATTTAAACTTTATCGTCCTACGCATAGGGGATTTGCAGACCTAACACTAAGACTGTCTCAACATGCTAAACATAGATTGCACAGGCTGGCTCAGGCAGTAGAAGAGATGATCAGTGTTCACAAGGCTGCTGGTTTGACTACATGCTCTTTTTGAACTATAGTTTCTATAATTTGTTATTCTGGCCTCAGTAAAGAACACATTTTAACCTGTTATTGGGGGTTTTTTTGGCGTGTGTCAGTCATTTATTGCATTACCCAGGGAAAAAAAATTGAAAATGTAGCATTTAACTTTTAAATTAAGGTTAGATTGTATTTTGTTTTTATGGACATTAATGGGATTTGTGTGCTTGGGATGACACATAAATGTTGTCATGAGTTATGAAGGTTAGATAAGGTGTATGTGAATTGCAATGAGCAGGCTTTTAAATGCAAACCCATTGATTTGATCTTTTAATTCATTCAATCCATGTGGGCTTATGCTCCATTTAAAACTGACAGCAAAATCATTTTCATAATTACTTTCTACTTAAACCTCGAGCGAGGTGCCTGAAGCAGAATACCTGGAAGAGCTACCGCATCTACATCTGGTTCAGACCGATCCTAATTACTTTGAAATTAGGTAATTGTTGCAGTGCTGACCTTCTGTTCCTGTAATTATGAATTGCAAACATACTTCAGAGCCCTCCAGAATAATTACGATTCTTGTGAAAAAATAAGCCTTTTGGGAGTTGCACTTGTGCTTGATTGTGTGGTACATTTCAGGAAAACAATGTTGACATGGCAGTGAAAATATTTAGACTGAAACAAAGAAACAGATGCATATAAATGGCAAAGAATTTGCTCGGTAAACAGAAGCATAACATACCAGGCCGAGCAGGGCAGAAAGGAGCAGGAAAAATGTGGTCGGGTGGTTTCGGCTTCCAGGGGGCGCATCTACTTTTCACCCAGTGACAACGAACGCCTGGCCCGGCAGCGGCGCACAAACCTGGGCTAGAGAAGGCCTGGCAGGATGGAGGCGTGTAAGCCAGCACGTCGTTCAGAAGCATACCAGAAAAGCCTCCAAAGATGTACATGGAGCTGAAGATGAAGAAGGGACGATTATACAAACTAACAGGAAAAGAGAACTTATACAGACAGCTGTGGAAGGAAGCAACAGCGAGACACTACACGCTTTATACAGATGAGAAATGCCTCCAGAAAGGAGGAGAAAGTTAGAGGAACACCTTTAAAAATAAACCTGGACTTAGGTGGTGGTGAGGGGGGGGGGGGTGAAAAAGAAAAGCTGCTATTTTGAAGCCGTCCTTGTGAAGTTCAAAGCTGACATTTCTGAGCTCAAAGCTGACTTTTTGGTGGGTAAATGGTGTTAACAGGTCAGGCTGTCATTTCTCAGCCCAGCAATAAGTCAGTCGATGAAACTCCTGCAAACATTTAAGTATCACAAAGCACTGATATTTATATTTTCACTATAACTTTTTCTATTTCACCAAACAAAATGTCTTGTACTCTCCGATTGTCTGGGACTGATGTTCACAGATTCTTTTCAAGAAAATCAAAATCTGTTTTCAGGCTGAACCCTACGAGCAACAAGAAATGCTCAGTGCATCAACGGCAGGGTTTTCTTTGTTGTACGTAGCTGTAATAAGTCATTTGAAAACCACATCTTTCTAGAAAGCAGAGCCCAAAGGCCATTCACACATCCGCCTGCATGTGAATGAGGGTACTGAGAAAAAGTTAGAGGAAAAAACTAGAAATGAATATAGGTCTCGAGGTAATGAAGTGAAATACACGTGGACATATATACATATGCAGTATCTATATATAGAAAGTGCAAAGAAAGTTTCTGACAGAGTGTAGCAGGAGAAACATCCACATACAGGCGAGAGCTGAGGTGGGAGAGACGTAGTTTCTAAACAGGGAGCTTCAGAGGAGCAGGCGGAGGAAGAAGTGACAAGAGAAGTGCCAACCAAAACTAAATATAAGATTGAGATAAAAAAAGATCAATCCATAAACAGTCTACACAACAAAACTATACCAGTCAAGGAGGAAGGCAGAGGCAAAATTCACCTGAGACGCTCAAGATTTGAAGGACATCACAGGAAGACATCAAGGAAATGAAAAAGCTGTGCTGGAGTGTCACGCATTGTAGATAGATGTGTTTTATTTGCATGAATGTAATTTGAGCAGGAAGGCTTGTTCTTATATTTTTCAAAGGTTGAATATCACTGCTGAAATGTCCAAAGGACGATTGGTAAAGGTACAGATTTATGATTGAAGTGGCACTTTTACAAGAAAACACTTAGGAAATGCAACTCCATGCATGTTTTGTGAACCAAATCGCTTTATTTCAAGATACACTCAGAAAAAATAAAATACTCTGTTACCTTTAGTAATACAGGGGCTTGTCCTTGGGCAGAACTACCGTTATTTGTAGGCTATGACTGTTTCTCCTTCCAAAATTACATTAACCTCAGAAAATACATTACAAAGAACTTTCTATCAAAGTTTTACTATTGTATATAGGGTGGAAACAAGAATTAGCCAGAGAGAGTCTGGGATTGGATCAGTTAGGGGGACGTGTTATGAAAAGCAGAAACTCACCCGTTGCTAACCACAGCAGAGTGTCCAAAGCGGTTGATGTCCCGGTGCAGGCCTGGTCTGGGAAGGACAGTCCACTCATCACAAGCTGAGGACGAGCACATGCAGACACACGACGATGTTTAGGAATATATTCACTCGTGACTGTGTGCTGCTATACTGCTGCAGTGTTTGAAAACCAAAACATAAATAACCCACTTATTGAGGAAGTGATAATGCACTGCACAAAATAAACAGACAAAGAGCTACTGTGAACATCACTGTAAGCAGCAAAATTACAGTTTTCCTTAACTGGTAATGCTAACGATAATATACGACTGGATAACATTGTCTTCATTTTTCCCCATGCAGTTATAATAGAAGAATAAGGAGAACCATACGTACTATATGCAAGAGCAATGAGCAGTAGAGTGTGACCCACAGCTCAACCCCTTCCCCCAATTCCATAAGAACTCATTACCATAACCTTCTCACATCGAATTATGGCGATCGAGAGATGATAGGGGAGATAATGTGGGAGCTGACTTCATAAAACACATCATGCCACAAATATGATCATAAAACAGCCTCCTCTCTTTCTCTCTCCCTCTCAAGTTATCATTGGTGCTATTCAGCTCTGTGTGTTTTACTATTTGGATTTTACAACTCTCTGATGTTTTAATGACCCCTACATACTCCCATTATATTAATATGGAAATGACTGAGTGACTGAATGTGTGTGTGTGTGTGTGTGTGTGTGTGTGTGTGTGTGAGTGTGTGTGAGAGTGTGTGAGTGAGAGAGAGTGTGTGAGTGTGTGAGTGAGTGAGAGAGATAGATGGAAAAGGAGTCCAAGTTGTGAGTGTAAATGTGCCATTTAGCTATAGACGCCTTTCCCTAAACACAGAACGCTGGTAGAGTTGAGGACACCAGGTTGCTAACGACCTCGTTAAGCGCTGTGCTAATTGGGAGCGCTTGTTTAAGAGCGAGGGATGCCACAGAGGACGCAGTGACGGGACAGACAAAAAGAGGTTATTCTAATCAACGCCAAGAGCAATGGGTTCATAACTAGCAGGGGTTAAAGGTCATTCGTATTAACATGACAAGAAGAGTGATGCTGATGTAATCAGGCAGCTCTGAAGAACGGTGATTGTGCGGCTAAATTAAACAGCACCGGTTTGTAGGTATTTAACTCAGGTTTTTGTTTTTTTGTTTTTAAATAGGTTAAGTTTTAACCGATTTTTAACCTCCCACAGCAAGATTTCTCAAGTCTTTTTGCTCGAGAAACTCAAAAATCACTAAAGCGAGTAAGTTGTGGGCTTTGAAACGACCTCCCTGAGGAGATAATCTGCGACCTCCTTCAAATCACTTCTAAAAACACATTTTTACAAACTCACTATTATGTGATGTCATTACATTTTTGTGCAGTCTTTTTCTTTAACCGCTTTTAAACAGGAAGCTCTAATTTCCAGCTTTCTGTTGAAATTCTGGATTCGGCTTTAGTCTGTCAAAGCACTTTGCAAAAGAACCATGTAAATGGAATTACTATTTAATATTGTTTGACAAAAAGACTGATGAATAATATTTATGAATAAATAAAACTTAGGGTTTAAACAATGAGAAGCAGAATACCAAAAGTTTATTAAGAACGCACAAAAGAAGGGCAAATAATTTATAAGACAGCTGCTATTAACACTAGACATTTTTACTCCAGTCTGGAGATTTATCCTTGTAGCATCTATTTCTAGAGCTTTGCGCACGCACGCACGCACGCACGCGCACACACACACACACACACACACACACACCTGTTTGTCAGCTCATGTTTAATATAACCTGCAAGGACCTGAATCAAATTGGCACCTCTACCTGGGTAATCATCACTCAGTGTGGGATCCAGGTGTGCACAACTATATGGCATCTAACATCCATCTAAAGCCTGAGTCACACGTGGTGCTAAAAGTTTAAATATTTTTCACTTGTGGCACTTGGCACTCTGAGCACCGAAATAAGCTTAGGCACTACAGGGAATCAGCAGTGAGGCAGGAGTTTGTTTCCTTGAGAACTTTTCAAGTTGTGCTGGCTGCAGAATAAAGCAGCTGGCGTTTATCTTCGATATTTTATTCACTTGTTTTGCTCCAGAATTAATCATTACAACCAAAACTTCACTTGAATTTGTGCATCAGAGTTAATAAATCATGTTGTTAGTACTGAATATACCAAGGTGCGCTTGGTTTGTTATTTTCTCTGGACTGATTTACTGTTACTGAAGTCAGTGAGAGAGCGGTTAAAAAGAGAACGGGCCCATATCTTTTAAATAAGCAGGTTATTATTAAAGCCAGCTCTATTTGTAATTAATCTGCAAGACAATTTTGACAAAGTGTCAACAGCTTCCTACGTTAATATTTCCGTGTGTTTTTTTTATGTTCACTTTATAATATAATTATTAATAATTAATAGGCCTTGCAGTTCTTGTGAAGCCAATAAACACCCTCGGAGACCTGCTGTATGTTTCATGTGATTTAGAGAATCTACCACATGAAACAGTCTGCAAGACACATAACTGCTAAAATAAGCAAATAATAACCAACCGCATCAGAAATATATAATAAAAAATAATATGGTTTTGTTGTTTTGTGGAGTTCTCGCTTTTGTTGACCGAAATGTCCCAGCTGTTTGCAATCTGTGTTCCAATAGAAAGATAGAAAACAGTAAACAAGCAGATTTGCATCTCTGTGCTGCTTCAGGCAGCCCAAGATAAACAGTTTCGAGCCCTCTTCATGGTGAGAGGACAGATTTCTGATTGAACGCTTTAAAGTTTTCTTTTTTTTTTTTTTTGTAGGTGACTCAACGTTGTGACTCCACCTCTAAGGGAATGGATAGTAACAACTACATGGACAAAAGATGGATTTTCTAACATAAGCGAAGCAATAAAATCTGAGGTACTAATTCTACTAAATCCTAAGTGGACAAAAAAATTATTAAAAGGAATTAGCAACTCTGAATGTAAATGCCTCTAGGGGAAAAAAAAGTATTCTCATTTTTCCATTTTGTGTCCCATCATTTTCCCTTTCCTGTGTCTTCCAGTTTGACTGAATCTAGACCTTTCTTTATGACAAGTTCTCATTAATTTGGGAAACCCTGACGAGGCTGGGAATGGTACCTAAAATGGATATGCTGTTAAAAGGACGGATGGATGGACTTATTGTCTACTTATTGTTTGAATGACACATTTCAGCTTGTGGCATTTTTGAGATTTTACTTCTTGAGGATCAAGAGCTTCCCCATGCACCTTGGAAGTAGGAGTGAACTTGTGCTTGAAAGCTCTACTCTATAAAGAAAATGTAATGTGGAACTATGATTTGTGCATGTAAATCAAGAGCCTGATTGTGATGATGAAGCTGACCTCAAACCTCCAGCCACAGCTAAAAATCTTTCTCTAACAAGCTCTAAATGAAAAAAAAGATTACAACCTCTGTGACTTTTGATCCCATCCTCTAGCCATAACCAGCCACCCCGAGACTGCTGTCAAATTGTCCACCCAAGAACTGCAGGCTCAACAGATACTTATCAGCCACAACACACATACAGTCATACACACACACAGACCCACACAGATTTTAATTTCCTCTTAGGATATGAGAAAATCTGTGTTAATAATGCATGGTGGGACAGAGGGAGAAATCACGAGTCCAGATCGAAGCAGCCGTGCGGCCGGGCTGATTGACAGTTTGATCGGATCTGTGCTAATGGAGAACTTGATGGAGAAAGGCGGGAGGAGGAGGAGGAGGACATGGAGGTTTAAACGGCAGCCACTGTCTGCTCCTCAGATACATCCCGACTTCCAACATCTTCCAAACAAGCTTTCAGCTTGCCACAGGCCTTTCAGCGAGATCTGTGTATGTCTCAGGTGTTTGCGTGTTGCACACAGAGCGTGAGCGTGGGCGTGCGCCTATGGTGTGTCAGGTTGGAGAGGACTGCGTTTTTAATCAGAGTTCATTTTCCCCCAAAATCTAATTAGAAGTGTGAGGGTGGCACGGTTAAGGGGAAGGGAGGATGTGGGAGGATGGGAGTGGGGAGGAAGGAGAGCTGAAGGGGGAGAATTAAATTCAAATGAAAAGTGCCTTCCATGTCTACCTGAATCTAATGTGTGGCAGCAGAAGAGCAGGAGAAGCTAATAACGTCATGTCACCCCTCCAAGGTTAGCGCGGCAAAACAAAAACAAATTAGTGCTCCAAACGCCCCCGCTCGCAGCGAGCGCAGAGACAGGGAGGAACGGAGGAGCAAATGGAGACAAAACAAGGGATGGAGAGAAGTGACTTCACAGGTGGAACTAATTAATTATCTCCTGAAGAGATGTGACGGAGGGCAGAGCTTTAGAAAAGAACTTGTGCAGATCAACACTTTCTGTGAAGACGCGTAGATACGAAGCCAAGCAACCCCCTGTCGTAACTCTAAACATGTATAGTATTTTTCACAGCATGTCCTATTTAACACTAAAGGTTTCCCCCATAAATGACCAAATTGTGCTCAGTCGAGACGCATTATTCAGAATGACAGCAATTAACACATTTCTCATAGACTTTCCAGAAACAAATTTGTATTTCTTTAAACTCAAGAATCAAATAAATTATCTGCTGTGCTCTTAGTTACGATGTTATTGTCAAAGCCAACTGATGTTTTTTGTTCTGCTGCTTGAAGCCACTTTAAGAAAAACTGTTTCTCAGTAACTTGTGTTCCACTGCAGGAAGCACCTCTGCACGGCCTCCTTTAGTGCCATTTTGGAGGAGAAAAAAAGTAGCTAGTCTGAGGTAGCTAGTCTGATAGCCTGCTTATAGAGGTTCAGCAATCTTAGGGTATAAGAGCTATATTGTGCTTCTTGTTGTGTCGATATACTGTTAAGATGTTTAAACATACCCTGTTTTGAACACTGAAAGCAGTATACATACAAATAAGGGCAGTGAGCCCAAAACTTAGGAGGTTCTAAATGCTCCGTTTCTGTTTTTTTTTTTTAATTAATTAATTTATTTTTTACTCTCAGTTCTATGTGATTGGAACATGGGCAGTAACAACAATGATAAACCAGGATTATTTTGAACTGTGACTCACAC